AAAGCATCCTTAGAGGCTGGGAAAGCATCCTTAGACACTGGCCTGCATCACTGCCTTCCCTAGGGCAAACCTCACTGTATGTCCAGAACAGGGCTGACAATCATGCTTTATGATCTGAAACTTCACAACCAGAGAGTTTTCACCTTTCTGTAGAGCTTCAATGAAATCCTTTACCGGAGAAGTTGTGCAAAAATTACCTGCACCATAAAGAACGAAGAATTTAAAAATATTTTCGATATGCAGATTCTTTGCCAAAAGCACAATAAAGAGCCCACCATGAATACATCACAGAAATAAAAAAAAAAAAAAATATGTCTGCTCATTTTAAATTTCCTGGAGTTTGCTTAATGTCAGCAGTCCCATTTAATAGCAGAAACGTAAAACCCTGTGACAGCCATTGAACCCCCGACCCCTGATAGGCAGTTACCAGCTTTGCCGGGACTGGTTTTGAAATCATTCAGCCCGTTAGCCTGCATCTTGTTACAGTCAGTGCAACTGATGCAATACTATATCAATCTCTTTTTCCCTCTGCATTTTTAACTCTCTCACATCAGCAATTATTTTACTCTTACACAAATATAAACCAGGGCTGCTCTGTTTCTCAGGGAACATGGTTGCATCCAGTTTTTGTTTGAACTAGCAAATATTTAGGAGAACAAGGAGATAGTTTTTATATGAAGCCTTGAAACAGTGAGGCAGCAAGGAAGGGACTGAAAATAGCTGCCATTTTGCTTCCTCCCTGTATTTTGGGCTGCTTTCGACCCAGCCTGTGTGCACAGGCACACTCACTCACTTGGTCTGCTCCTTTACACCGTGACTTCATTGTAAAATTCAATTCATCTGTTCAAAGCAATGACTGAAACACTGTCTATAAAATTATAGCATTTTTCCACTTAAAAAAAAAAAAAATTAAACACTTCTTCATTTAAAAGTTATTTTTAAACCTAGTTGGCCTGAAGCCAATTTTAGTCATAACTGAAGTGGATTCTTCTTTTCCTAGAATTCAATGCTTTTCTTTTCTAAAATATATTAGTTTAAAAAAAAAAAAAGTAGTAAAACCAGTAAATGCAGAGTTTACACTTCTGTCTACCCCATTTTACCCTCTGACATACCAGCACAGTTTGCTTTTCAACTTCCTACTATGCAACAAATCCAAACAAGGCTTTACTTTTTCTAGTTTAGGAACTTAACTCGAACATGGACTTTAGCAATCCCAGAGCAGAACCACTTACTTTCAGTTTGAATCTGGCTGAGGCACTCGTTGAGCATCACCACAGCCAGTAAGTGGCTGAGTCAGAGTTTATGTCTCAGAGATAATCAAAGACACTTCAGAAAACATGGCTGAATTTGAAAAAGAAAGCTTCATAGCCTTATTACAATGCAAAGACACGTATGGCTTCTGGCACTATATCTGTATTTACATGTCAATAGTCAAGCATGAAGTAGATGAACTGAAAGCGCTGTTATCGTATACATAGGTAGAATGAGGATCCTGCCTTCATTAAGTTCCCATTTTCCAGGACTGTCTCAAGACAGTAGGACATTTGGTCTTCTTAATGAAGCAGTGATCCAGATTCTGGGTTTTAATAAAGCTAGTCACCCCATCGCTCCAAAATTTAAAAAAAAAAAGGGAAGAAAAAATGAAAACAACAACAAAAAAGACAGACTTGAATCTAAGCAATTAACATGTCACCAAGAAGTATTTTAAGGAATAACATGCAAACTGACCTGGCAGAGAGAGTATTTTCCTTGTCTTTTCAAATGGAATTATGTTTTTCTCAAGAGAAAATTCAGACTAAATTGCACTAAATGAGTTTATATTCAATGTTCACATGTACAGTGTTATCTGCACTGTGACAACTCCACTAACTGAGATGGGAATATAGGATTTATATACTTCAGTTCTACATGCTTTGTAAGGATATCAGCACAGCAATGCAAAATAATTAGAAGATAAGAACTTTGTAGTCACTTTATCCACACAAAGTAAATTAATCAGATTTTTATTTTCCAGATTGAATTTTCTCAAGTCCGAGCTCAGCATTAAAGTGTTTGATCCTTCAAATTAAGCAAAAATGAGCGGCTAAATTGAGGCTTAAGGATGACAAAGGAAAGGTGACTTGTTTATATTAAAAAGTGTCACTTCAGGTTTTTTAAGGTTTTTTTGTTGTTTTACTTCTTGAGTGCCTAGGGATTTGGAATGAAAACTTCATAAGGACACAGCATCTATCTAATTTTTTAACCTAACAATGTTAGAAGCCTACTGAAGATGGACTTCATGAGAACATTACAGGTTTTGCTGTTGTTTTCAAACAGCAGGCTCTGGGGGGCTGTTTTGGGGGGGATTTTTTTTTTTTTTTTTTTTTAATGATAGTAATGAAGATGCATAGGGCAGGAAATGGAGGATTAAAACACTCAGAAGCATTCAGCTCCTCTGTCTTCAGCACCTGGACTGAAGCTACAATGCTCCGCTCTT